TCTCTCAAAAAAAAAAAAAAAAAAAAAGAAAGCATATTCTACAATCCTGTGAAATACTCTACAGCTATCTATCTAATAATTTATACCTTATTTTTATACCTAAAAAATAGAGCAGGTGACACACTATCTCTTTGAAATACAAGTAACAATGATCCTGAAAGTTCAGAAGGAAAGTTGGCTGTATAGTGAGTTGTTATTTACTACATAAATTAGGATGAAGGTCAGTTTGGGGCACTGGCCATGTATACCTAAAACCACTCTTTTAATCTTTCAAGTATAGCACTTGCTTTATTTTACAGACACTCTACGTAAGAAGAAAATTTGTTGAAAGGAGAATATGAAATGAGATGAGCAGGAACTAGGATCCTGTTCGCTCACAGATCAAAGCCAAGTGTCGCTACCTTGATAGCAAGTTAAAAAGGGTTGGTATCAATATCTGAGGACTTTTGAGTTTCTTTTTGTGCTGCAGTAATTCCAGGATGAGGGTTACCCTTTGCCAGTAGGGTCCTCCAACTTCCTGAACGGAGTCTAGATCTTGTGATTTTCTGAAAAAGAGAGAAGACAAAAAGTTGGAAAACCAAACAGTGTATCATTGCTACATAAAATCTACTGTGCCTGATTATGCTAAACTGATGGTATCAAACAATCTCAATGGTTTCATAACATTCACAGACGAGGAACGGCAGCGTGTGCTCAAGGCGTCCCCGCTCTTACTTCTGCTGCATTTTTTGCCTTCTTGTTTGCTGGACGGTGCCCAAGGATTTAGCTTTATCTGGTGGCTCCAGTTCTACTTTGATCTGTTCCGCATTCACAGAAATCTGAAATAAGGAAGTACAGCTGATAATATAATCCACTGGGAGAAAATTAGAGCGATACATACAGATCAAAAGACAAACTACAAGATATTTGTCTACTTTTACGTCTTCACACACTCTACAGCCCAGCCCAATCCCCGCAGGCAAATGCCACTGACATTTTTTATGCATCCTTTGGGAAATTTTCCATGTACCAACAGCTATCTAAAAATTTTTTAAAAAACAAAACAAACAAAAAACCCCATAAACAGGAGCATATTATACACAGTTCATTGCTTCTTGCTGTCTATCTTGGGAATCTACTCCTATCAATACAGTTATTTCATAATGTATGTATTTATTGTCACGAAAGTACAAGTGTTCCTATAATAAGAGTACATTTAATCAAAATAATCTTTACAGCGAAAAGTACAGCTGCCTTACATTTAAGGCCAATCTTATCTTTGGCTGATACAGCATGTGCCCTCCAGTCAGCTGAGACAGAAGACGGATGAATTTCACTTAACACTTCACCCTTAATAATCCTTCATATTCTTTAAGAAGCTCCCGTTTGGACTAACTCTTAGCTCAATTCAATCATCACTCAACTGGCCTGTTAAATATGTGTTACCTTTGCAATTTTAATTTTTCTCTACATGTCTTTAAAAATATTAAGACTAGAATTAGATATTATCCCCTAAGAAGGGTTTACTCAACTAAGAGAGAATGACTTCCTGGAAAAGTACCTGTGGATGTTTGAAAAATCAGAATGAGAAGCAAGGAAAGTAGGGAGGGAGGTGGAAACCAAAGCCAATCTACTGCTACCCAACGTGGATTCCACTCCAGCTTTTCCTTTTAACTGAGCTCTCGCACCACCGTGTGCTTACTTTCCTTGTGCTATATGTTCGGGCTCAAGCTTCAGCCCTGCACTTGCCCGGTATTGACCAGAGTCACTTAATTTTCTATTCATTCCTCAGAGTGGGAGATTACTAACTAGCTACATGATCATCTACACTAATTGGCTCCATGTACCTGGCACATTATCCTAATCAATTAGGAAGAAATAAAACACACACACATGCAGATTCACACACCCAGAGATTCTTTAGATATGCAGGAGATCCAGAAATCTGTCTTTTCCACCCCCATATAGAATCTCAATCTATTGCCTGGGCTAGAGTGCAGTAGCATCAGAGCTCACTGCAACCTCAAGCTCCTGGGCATAAGCAATTTATTAATTAAAAGACAACAACAAAAGCGTTTATGTCGACATTCATGTCTCCACTCTATACCTCAGCGGGGACCACAGGTTTGTGCCACTGCTCCTGGCTAATTTTTTCTACTTTTAGTAGAGATGGGGTCTTGCTCTTGCTCAGGCTGTTCTCGAACTTCTGAGCTCAAAAGATCCTCCTACTGCAGCCTCCCAGAAAGCTAGGAGGCATGCCACTGCACCCAGTGCAGAAATCTCTTTTTGAAAGGTCCTAACATCACAACTAGATGTCTGGATTCTGGCTAAAGGAAAATAACTATAACTATATAAGATTATGGAACAGGTATTAGATGGTACCAAGGAATTACTATTAATTTTTTCAGGTATGATAATGGCACTGTAGTCACATAAGAAAATGCTCACTTTTTAAAAGATGCAAGCCAGCTTGGCTCCTGTAGCATAGTGGTTATGTCACATACACCAGGGCTGGTGGGTTTGAACCTGGCCCAGGCCAGTTAAACAACAATAACAACCGCAACAACAACAACAACTACAAACTAGCTGGGCGTTGTGGCAGGTGCCTGTAGTCCCAGCTACTTCAGAGGCTGAGGCAAGAGAATCACTTAAGGCCAAGAGTTTGAGGTTGCTGTGAGCTGTGACACCATAGCACTCTACCGAGGGCAACATAATGAGACTCTCTCTCAAAAAAACAAAAAAAGATGCAAACTGAAGTATATAGAGATTAAAAAGGGCATACGCTTTGCAATTTATTGTATAATATTTCAGCAGGCCAGGCACAGTGACTCACGCCTATAATCCTAGCACTCTAGGAGGCCCAAGAGGGAGGATCACTTGAGTTGAGGAGTTTGAGATCAGCCTGAGCAAGAGCAAGACTCTCTCTCAAATCCATCATATGTCATTAAACAAACTGTTTCAATTAAATAGAATAATCTGTCACCCAGTTCAACAATAAGCAGTTCATTTATTCCTGTTCCCTCGCATAAAACAGGTAGATCCCACCTGCTGAGAATAAGATCCAAACACACACATGTGCACACACACACACACATCTTACTTGGTTAAAACTATCAATACTTCATACAACACAAATCATGGTGAAGACTTACAATTTTGCTTTTGTGCCTCTCTGTGACCTGCTTTTCCATGATTCTTACTAATTCATGGTAACAGACGGCCTCTGAGAAGCTCTAGGAAGTGCAGGGCCCTTAAATATGGTGTCCCTCAAAAGAGACTAAACATCAATAGACAAAATCAAAGAAAGTCTGCAACTTACCCCTTTAAAAACACTGCTAACAGTCTGAGTACAATTGGCGTTTTTACAGTTCACCAATAGATCAAACAACATTCCCAAAAACTTCTGCTGAACTTTTTCATCCAATATAGCGGTGAAAAATGGTTTTGTAATCTAAAGAGGGTAGAAAAAAAGCAAATGAGTTCAATAAACAAGTACTCTGAGCTCCAAAAATGATCTTTATATCATTCTCTCTCACCATATAAAATTGTTTTCCATTCTGTCAGTAAAATGCAAGTCTTTTCAATTACCCAGGTACAAACAACAGTTTTGCAAAATGGGTCAAATGCGTCACATTCCTTTACAACACGCCCAGGACACCCAACTACCTTCTCCAGACAAAACATTACAGATCTTTAAATGACTGAATATGAGTTTGTTCCTGAAAAGACATCACTGACCTTTTCCAGGGCTGTGATCTGAATGGTTGGCATTCCTGTGTAAAGTTGCTCCGTTGTGTGCACAGCTCTTATAAATAAGTCCAGACTCTTTGGGTCCTTATGTAAAAGGGAAGCTGAATATTCATTATATTTTCCCAGAGTGCGGTGCAAGACAATGGCCTCATCTTTCAGAACAGCCCTGGGCTTCTTCTCAATCTTTTCTAGTAGTTGTTCAATCATGGGCAACAGCTGAGAAAGCACCATCTAAAGGTTGGAAAACTTATTAGTGAATAGTTACCTACTCTAATATGTTTGTGATCACTCTACAGAGACATCCAAAGATACCATGTTGGAAGACTGGGAGTTTAGGCTGGTCACCAATAATGCCGACCTCTTAGATGATGGAGGCAGCTATTAATCCATGTTAAGGCACTCTGGTGGTTCATCTGAAATGCTCAAAAATACTAAGCTAAGCCCTTCAGAAATGAGCAGAGATAATCTGTGAGCACCCCTCAAGACTTTCTGTGAACAGAAAATACAAACTAAACTTTTGAGAGTATAAAAACCAATTGGAACATTCTCTAAAACACTGTGCACTTCCCTCAAATGACGTTTCCAACTAGGTATAACTAACTCAAATTATGTATGTGAAGTCTTCAATAACTAAAACAGGGCCAGCAAATTATGGCTTATGGGCCAAACTCAGTGACTTTCTGAAGCACAGTGGCGTTCACCTGTTTCTACACTATGTATGGCTATTTCCCTGATAACATCCGCAGGGATCAGCAGGTGCAACAGAGACTGGATGGTCCACAGAGCTTAAAATATTTACTATCTAATCTGTTGACAAGCAGTTTATCAGCTTCTAATTTAAAGTATACCAAGGATGACTTAGACCTGATAAATGTGACCAGTCTGCTTCTACTAAGAAATACATTCCAATGGTCTTGATTCCATTTTACCCGTTTAAGTTCTCTTAAATCTGTATTCTAAGACTGATGAAGTGCAGAGGCATTTGTGGAACATTAGGATGATGGAAATTTTCCTCTGCTGATCAGCACGTGTCATCACATAAACATCACATCAGCACAAGGGCTTCACAACCACGTTCTCTGGTAGCACAGTTTTCTTTAGAACATAAGGAAAGCTATGGATTTTTCCCTCCAGAAAAATGTACAAAAGCATATGTTTAATGAACAAGCAAACAATTTTGGAATTTCAGACTTTTACGTCCAAATATATTTCCTTGCAGAGACTTTTCACTTGAAAAATAGACCCAAACTAACAGTTCCTCACCAGTGCTGAGACCAAGTTAATGACTAGACGGAGACAACACAACTAATTTTAAACTGAAAAGAAACTCACCCACAGTCGTTTCTATTTCCTATAACTCTACCTCAACTCTTCCCTCTCCAAATGTGATGACAACTGTCACTTGTGAATGCACCAAAATATTTAACTCTTGGAACTTTCTTCCTTGTCCATGAGCAGTTACAATAATTCTTCATTAATATTACATGAATAATCCACTTAAATTACACAGACCTCACTGTTGACTTCCTGAAGGACTTTCATCAAATCTTTTGCAATATAAGATGGGCAACTATATACACAGTTAAGAAGGTTTTTCAAAGTTTCGGACAACTTTTGATGAGATTTCAGCTTCTTTTCTCTCCGGAGTTCCTCAAACAAAGTACCCAAATCCTAGAATATGAAAGAGAAAATTGGATTTTAAAATGGTTAAGGAACTATAAAGGCTCAACATCCTACTTATGGAAGACGCTACCCAAATGATGTAATACTGCTTATAATTTTTCCATTTCCCCTTAAAGTTAGCTTAAGAAAAGCCAAACACTGGTCTTTTATCCAATGATAAGATACAGAATTGAAATATGATACTGCTATCTTTTCAAAAGAAAAAGAAAAAAGATGGACAGATAATGATATCAGTTTCTAAATTCAATGGTTCAGTCCACTGAAATCTCTACAAAGTAAAATGTCAAGAATGGAGAAAACTATTCACAGGGACACACCGGTGATGCACACAGTCCATCTTCTTTGCTAATGAACCTACCTGAACAACGTAGGTGGCATCTGAGGTTATCTCTTCTGCTTTGGGAACCAAATGATCTATAACCAAATGAAACGGGGACGCTACTTGGCTGAGGGACTGCAGACACTGAATGGCCGCCCTTCGGACTTCTTTGACCGGACTTCCCAGATTAATGAGTAGAGATGTCACCACTAAAACCAAAGAGGAAAAAAGGTTCAGTAATAAGTTTAAAAACTGCAACAGTACAAGTAAATTTACATATTACCAAAGGTATATGATAAAAGGTTTTCCTCCCAACTCAAACTCCTTCTCTAAAGACCATTCACAGTTTGTTTACTACTCTAGAAAGATGTTAGGCATTTGATACCCAGTATCTTGTGTATTATTTTGAAAATAGTCAGCTAAGCGCATACATGTTACATACCCTATTCTGCACCAACTGCTACCACATCTCAATGTATTTGGAAGAGTTTTCCATGTAGGTACATACAGATCTAAACTAAATCATTCTTTTTAACTGTAATGCACTCCACTGTATTCTCCATATCTGTTAAACCACTACCTTACTGGTGAAGTTTGGGTTGTTTCTAGTCTTTCTGTCATCAAAACAAAGCTGCAACAAACACCCCAATACACACACGTGCCTCCGCAAGTGTGCACAGGAAATCATTTGTGCATCATGCTTTGCAAATATTTTGTCCCAGACAGACTTATACTTTTTGATGAAGAAACTTTATTTTTTTTTCCATACACAATTTTTTTTTATTATTATTAGATCACAATTGTGTACATTAATTCTATCATAGGATACAGTATGTTACTTCCACATGCAGTTTGGAAAACTCTCATCCAACTGGCTAACATAGCCATCATGTCTATCTCATAATTGTGTTAAGACATTTATATTCAACCTTTAGACAAATTCACATGTATCCTACTAGGATACATTATAGGCATGATCCCCACAATATCATTCTCTTCACCCCTCCCCTCCCCCTCCCCTCCCCCTCCCTCTCCTTTCCCTGTAGTCTAGGGCTC